ACCAGGGACACGAGACCCCAGAGCCCAGCAAAGAAAATCTCAGTACCCTCTCCCTCCTGCCGGCTGGCACGGGGGCTCCTTGCGGGCACTGCCCGGCTGGGGGATGCCGGGACCCTGGGGGCAGGTGGAGCAGCCGGGCTCCTTCCAGCTCTGGGTCAGGGCGCCTGGCGAGGGGGCACCGCTGGGGCGGGTGGGTCTGTGGGTGCCAGGGAGGGGCAGGAGCCCCAACGGCAGGGGCTCAACCCTTATTCCCCAGCCCAGATGCTGCCCGTACTGCCTCATAAACTCCCTTTCACCCAGACATTCCTCTGAGCCCCAAATCCCCCTCGTTACCTCCTCCCCCCACATCCCCCCCATCCACAGCCTCCCTCACAGCCCCACACCCCCCCAGCCCCTTAAAACCTCAAAGCCTCCACACTCCAACCCCATCCCTCCACTTTCCCTCATAACTTTATCACACCCCCAAACCCCTTTGCCTCCACAGCCCCCTGACCGGAGGCAGGCTCTCCCTGCTAGCCCCCAGCACAGTGATTGCCCTGCCCCTAATTAGTTTCCCAGAAAGCTCGGGGTGTGATTAGCTCATTGGGCTGGGGGAGCCAAGGATTAACGTGATCCCAAGGCCCAGGGCACAGTGGAACCGGGCGAGCTGCGCCCAGGCCCAGAGAGAGCTCGGGGCAGGGAGCCTGGTCCCCTCTTGGGCCTGGGAAGGGCTGGCGGCTAATGGACAGACAGATGGACGCTGTGAATAGTGGCGCTGCCCGTGGGCCTGACACTGGTGTGGAAGGGACAGAAATAAGCTGCCCAGCGCGGGCACCGAGCCGGGGCCTGAGCCGTGTCTGTGGGGCCAGCGAGGGGGAGCAAGCGCCCTGTTCCCCCCAGCTCCAAATCCCCTCTGGGAGTCTGTCCCCGCATAGCCCACCTCCCCTCAGAAATCCCTCCCTGTCCCCACAGCCCCCCAGCTCTGTGTGCCCTCCATGACCCCATATAACCCCCACCCCACATAACTCCCCTTACAGCCTGTAACACGCACGGCTCCCACACCTCACAGAACCCCCCTTACACCCAGTAGCCCCCATGGCTCCCACACCCCACACAACACCCCACTGACCCCATCACCATTCCTGGGAGGACCTAGCCCCCCCAACCCCAGGGGATTCACCCCCAGACCAGCGGAAGGGGTCACGGGGGGTGGGGGGCTGGGCCCTTCCCTCTGGCTGCTCTGGCTTGATGAGTGTCTGGGTGTAACCGGATCAGTAACTGTAAACTCTTCTCTCCGCCCGTTTCCTGTTGTTACAGCCACAGAAAGTGAAAGGGAATTCGCTGGGGGCCCTGCCAGCCCCGGAGATGGCGACTCTGTGGGGACGAAGGGTGGGGACCATGGGTCTGGGGGGTCTCCTCCTCCCCCTCCTCGTCCTTGGGGTGGCCGGTAAGTACAGACCCCCTGGTGCCCTGGGGGCGGGCAGGGCAGGGCCCTGGGGCTCCCAGCAGAGTAAAGTCCCGGGGACGGGCCCTGGGTACCGGTGGGTCAGTCACTGCCCAGCTCTGCCCGGCCTCAGCTGCCGAGTCTGCCCTGAGCCCGTGTGAATGCCCCAGGGTGTGACAGGAGCCGGGGGAGGGAATGGGGGAGCCGCGGGGAATCCCGGGGGGCAGGAGAGGGGGGTCGGGGTCTGAGCGAAGGGACGGGCACACAGAGCTCAGACAGGGCACCGGGGACCTGCTGCTGCCCAATATCTTGGTGTCTGTCAGGGCAAAACCTCTCAGCGGTGACCCGGCCGGTCACCTAGGGTTACCATATTTCGAGCCTCCAAAAGGAGGACACTCCACCGGACCCCAGCCCCACCCCCAGCCCCGCCCATGCCCCCCGCCCCAACTCCGCCCCTT